TCAATATAATGTACGGGCTCGATAAGTGTTATAATTATTATTTCGTCACACGCAATCGCAAAATTAGTAACTATATTATGGGTTTTCCGTTTGAATCCCGTTTGATTGGTCAACTTCAGAGGACGCGGTACCCGCACAATGTGCCGTCACCTCCTTCTTACCAACGACGCATAGCAGATTTCGTGCATTTAGTTTCGATATTAGGACGCATTGACTTATCGCCGTATTTATATAAACAAGAACATTATCTGTGAAATTACGTAGATTTTTCGTTCGATAATTCAATTGGCAATCGAGATATACAAGCGTTTTTAAATTATTTAGATCGGCGGCGTATTTAGGATACTGCCAAAGAGGGAGATTTTGAAATTTTGAAATGTTTTGTTACATATATTGTACATAATGTGTACCTCTTATGCTAACTAAAACAAAAAAAAAAAAATATATTCAATTTTAATTGTATATTTTTTTTATAAGTATTTTATAATTCAATCTGCCCCGACATTAGCATAGATATATTATAGCGATTATTATATTAGTTTAGTTATACTGTTCTACGGATATGGAGAAGAAAAGGACCTTCTTTGTGTTAAAGTGGTTCGGATAAGTTTCGTTTTTAATAAAGACGTTTATCTACAGTTAAGATTTATTTTCGATTTATCAACTTGGTACCTACCATCACACAGATTTTTGATTTTTCTCGCTAAAAAGTAAAGTAATTTAAAAATAGGTATTCGCGTAAATAATAGCTACTGAAAAAATGTCAAGGGGTATATCTCCCTAGACTCCCCCCTAAAATACGTCACCGATTGAGATATTTCGCGCACCTATATTTCGCTTGGAAATTAAAAACATCGAAAAAAAAAACCGAATTAGTTGCTCAGGTAATTCGCCTATTATAGTGGCTGTATCTATAATTAACTTGTCCAAGTGAATATCCCAAATGATATTATACGTAAACACGCGCATTATAAAATAATATTCAAACACACGCCTTACTTTCAATTAAACAGCTAGCCGGTCGCTCGGTTACTCAATAATTTTGTAACCTAATTAAAATTACCTATGGTCCGTATAAGTTACCCGTACCTATACCGATAGTTTTTGGAATCTAATGAAAACGTTATTATAGGTGGGTACTTAAATGTTATCGGATCAACGCGAAAAACTATAAAATATCGGTTGATCAAATCGGTTATAATAATCGTCGCCAAGACCTAAATTTTCCCACTCTTCGATTTCTTGGCAAAAACGTCCGTTATCTAAACTTCATCTTATAATATTCGAATACAAACCGACTTCTCGTTCAACTATGCTCCGAGACCGTTTTCCTATTCGCCATAACCCTCCTCGAAGGTCGAAAAGAAACTGGCACGGAGAGAATTGCTTTCAAAAAAAAATAAAAAATATTACTGTTAATATTAACTTATTGATTTAATTTGGATTATAAAATGCAGGTGACGGTAATGACGACGACCCTGCCTTCTCGATATTTGCCGGCGATTTATACGTATATCAACGGTCGAATTTATACTCGTTCTACATATAAGTTACCTAATGATTTTAAAAATGTAATTTCTCCCAAATATACACACACAATTATATTACACATCGCGTTCAGTGTCGCCTGTCTATATTTGGCGGACGAGATTCTATAACAGCGATATTCCGCTAGATATAGCTAATGTGGTCTGCGAAAACGCGTGATGTTTGCTCTTTGCATACGCAGGCATGTTCAACAAGTATCTACGTGATTTGTTTGTTTGTTTGTTTGTCGACAGGACCTATATTATTATTTGGTTGTAGGTTAATTGCTGTGCACGCGGCCATTTTAGTGTCGAGATCTAAGCAAAAAAAAAAAAAACGTAACGATCCGCAGCAGCATTTCATGGCCGATAGTGTAAAAAGGTCAAGTAGAAAGTACGAAAACTCGTACAGATAGGTATACTACATTTAATATAATAAAAGAACCTATACCTATATAATACTGCAACTTTTTACAAATAGGTCGCAAACGCGAAAATATTATTTTATAATATATATTTTAATGATCGCATTATCATTATTATTTAGGCCCCCGTACGAGTGTGCGCATGTGTGTTCAACAATGTGTGTCGCTTTGGCAATTATTACACTATATACATATACATGCATGCTATACTTATATCTACTATATATTATATTCTATTTAAAAAAAAAAAAAAAAAAAATATAATAATAATAAAAAATTAATATCGGATCGTTGGTACCGAGTTAACGTTTCCCCTTCCCCTCTTTTTTCATTCAGGTATACAACTGCCGCGGCGCAGTCGATTAGCGAAACGTATAATACACATACGCCACTAATTAATTGATACTAATTGAAGACCTTGGAACAACAATAACCGGATAACTCCGGTTTTTTATAATAAATCGTTCGGGAGCAATGAAAAGCACTGTTTTTTTTTTTTTTTCTTTATTCTTCCCCATTTATCTGATTGTCGGACAGAAATTTGTTCGGGAGCACATAACATCATTATCTGATTGCGTATTATTATACTTGTTTATTGTATTGGACTTATCAGATGGTTGCACCGTTACAACGAGACAGGTAACTCCAATTCCCATTGAAAACTATATAATATGTATAGCTCTGACCTCTAATACAGGTCTGGTTTAAACATTTTAAAGCTCAGGACAAAAGGACCGGTAAACAAAAAAATAAAAAAATAAAATAAAAATTAGCATTCTAATCCAGTAATGCGCAAGCAACTGTCCATTGTCTTAAATCTAATCAAGTAATTTAAGCCAGTAGATGGACCCCTGATCCGCATGGGCTCTGGACATCGAATACCCATAATTTCCTTACGAAATTAGGGTACTCATATATATAATGCTAATATGTACCTGATTTTTCTGATTTTTACACCAAAACACAATTTTTTTCCCCCTCCTTAAAATCATACCATCGACAAGTGTATCGTCGTAAAAATCTGAGTTATCCGTTTGTTACACACCGAGATCTTCAGTTGCGCAAAGCGTTTTCAAGGGGAAGTCACGCCAAAGATAGATTAGAGCGTTAGGCACGCAGTGGCGGTTTCTGCTGTTCGCCTGTAGAAGGGTCAATTCGATGACCTTTTTTTTTTTTTTTTTATCTTTTCTTAATTTTTTTTCATAAACCTATAAAATTACTTAGCCGTCTCGCGGTGCATTTACTGTTATTGCACACGTACGTGTGCATCTACCTATTTAATTATACTTATAATTTTACTATCAGTTATTGTCTATCGATATTTCGTAACTCAAAAATAAGCAACATAATATTATTATATGAATTGTTAATCTTAAGTCGTATTCAGACAATCGACGACGCGTCTCATCTGCAGAGGGCATGGCCCCACGGCCCCTCTGCTAAAATCCGCCCATCCAGCTATATCTATATACTATAGTATTTTATTTCAGGTTTTTTTTTTTTTAGTTTTTTTTGTAGTTTCTTTTTTTTTTTTTACGTAAATTCTCCAAATTATTCGTTCGGTTTTCCGCGGCGTGTTGCGGCATGCGGCGCGTGTTAATATTTATAGCACGAGTCATTCATTCGTCCAATGGGTATTGCCCAACGGCAATGACATCCATTGAGGTCGTTGTGACCATCGTCACCGTCGCATCGTATAAAGCGTACTCCAACACACTGCTGCTGCTGCTGATGCTACTGATGCTGGACACACGCTCGTACCGTGGAAATCGACTTTAATTTCCACGGCGTATTAAAGACGCGAGGAAAACAGTATTGTAATAAAAAAAAATGAATACGACGGAGAGAAACTATATAGACGCGTAAACGTATCGCATATAGGTAGGACGACAATAATGACAGCGAAAATAAAGATTCGAACGGAAAATGCTTCGGACAAAACGTCATATACAATGTCATGGCGTATATTTATAAGTATTTATCGTGACGATTGCGGGATAAAACGGAAATTCGAACGGTCCCGAAATCGAATTTCACACGTAAGAATAATATTTAAAAACTGAATGAAAACCTATACAATAACGCGCATAGATGTGATGAACGGGAATTTTCTTCGGTCCCTCGGATATTGTAGAGTTCCGTTTTAAGCTCCGTCCAGATCACGGCAATAACGTCGTTGACAATTTTGTAAATTTTAATGTAAAATGTAAAATTACATCATTTTTCGGTAAATGCTGTTCAACGTTTTACAGTTGTCCAGACGGATAATGAAATGTTATTTACTGCGGTTTAGTGTGTTTAGTGATTTTTACCGCCTAAACGACATTTCGTCGCCCGCTCGGACGAAAACCCAAAAGTCGACCGCTTTTGAAGTCAAATTTCACAATATTTGTCGCCACTAGACGTGTATTGACTGTGCAGTTTTGAGCGATCCGGTTTATATCCGGTTTGTATACACAATAGTTTAGTAGTGAACAAATTGTTTACAGCAATTGTACGGTAAGCCGAATGCGCTTTTCGACAACCGGATCGCCGGAATCGGGTACAGTAAACAAAACGTTTTAACCGAATCGCAACCGAGTAGAAAAATAACGCAAAAAACTGTGTACCGAATATCGCGTCGTCTTCGAAACACGCCTAATATAAACAAATTGCGCGTCGCGTCGTTCGCATTTTCGATCCGTTTAACGTGAGCCGCTGCTCGCGGTGTTCGTCGCAGCCGCGCAAAATATTTTTCGGGAAAAGAAAATCAAACGACGCGGTAAAAATCAATAATATTTACAGTCCCGTAAAACAGTAATATTCACTTCCGCGCGCGCGTTGATTTCAATAGGGTTTTTTTTTTTTTTTTTTTTTTTTCGCTAAACACACATGTACGATAAACGCATTTTATAACATACTATTCATACTATTCATATATAAAGGGTAGATAAGTAGGTAAATAATATATAGCGATAAACAACATTGGAGTAAACAGCAGTTGGTGGAGGCGGGTGGGGAAGGGGGGGCGGGGAGGAGGAAAGAAGAAAAAACAAAAACAAAAACGTTATCGTATAATAGGCAGGTGATATATTATTATTGTTATTATTACATTTGAATCGTTATAATATCGTAATACTCGGCAAACGGCCAAGCGCATCGGTCATTGGTGTAATGATAATTATTGATTATTTATTCTGTTACAATCATACGGATCGGTACGGACAACGGGTACGCGAACTGACACATTGATACGTACTACACGTATATTGTAATTAAACGTAATCGCATATATATATACATATAGGTACACGAAATGATAATTTTAATATGGAAGTATATGGAATTACACGCGCAACATTATTAATGATAATGTTGGTTTTTTTTTTTTTTTTTTTTTTTTTT